GCGCCCCCCCCCCGGGGGGTGGGGCCCCCCGCCCCCGGCCGCTGCTGCCCGCGGCAGGCGGAAGCGTCCAGCCTTAGTCAGCCCCGGCCGCACGTGGCAGGAACTCTGCTGTTTGTTTTGGTTCCTTGGGAGGGGAGTTCAGCCTCCCCGGGGAACCATGACCAAAACTGCAGGCACCTGATGGCCCAGCCTCGTGCCTGGGGAGAGCAGGGTCTGGCCTCGCTGGGTCACAGGCACCAGGGCCAGCCCAGGTCAGACAAGAGTTTCAGAAGGGCACGGGACGGGCGCCAGGGCTGCCTGAGAACACTCAAGGCAGAAGACCTGGGCAAGGGGAACCTGCGGCAAGCCTGCCTGCTGCTCCCGGGCACTGCTTAAATCCCGCACGGGCACAGGGACGATGCCACTGAAGAGGAGGTCCCTGAGACCATCGGACCCAAGCCCTGGGACGCCCTGGCCCTCAGCCAGCCAGTGCTCCAGGAACAGGTCAGTAGCTGGCAGACCCAGTGCCACTCAGCTTGGCGCTTTGTCTTTCAGCACAGGCCTAGTTTAGTGCCGAGGCTGAGCCCGGGGCAGGGGACAGAGTCATCTTCCCACCAGGGCAAAGCTGTGGGCAGGTGGTAAAATGATGCCGGCAGCAGACGGGAGGGTTAATGATGACCGGCCGTCTCCCAGCCCAGCCGTCAGTCAGCTGTGCCCGGTGGGGAGGTGATGGAGAGCACACAGCGCCGGGCGCAGTGCTTGGTGGCCAGCCGGCGGGGCAGCCCCATGTGGCAGGGACTGGCCGGGCCATGGGTGTTTGCAGGAGAGCACAGTCCTGGAGCAGGGTGAGGCACAGGAGAGCCAAACTGCAGCCCCAAGCATACATGGGTGCCTACAGGTAACCAGTGCATCACCAGTCTCCGCAGTTACTGCACCAAAACAGCCCCTTGCACACGAGGTGCCGAGAGTCCGGAGCGGGAAGCAGAGACGCAGCACCCACAGCACAGCTCACCCTGCTCTGCCCGAGCTCCTCTCCTGAAGCCCTGGGCGGGGGCAGAGCTCCCAAACCCCAGAAACCCTGCAGGGATTTCCCTTCGGCAGCTGCAGAGCACTGCGCTTGGGAAAGCCCAAGCAGGATGCGACCAGGACAGACGGGTGCAGCAGCATGTGCATGACCCTCCACCACCGGCAGAGATGAAACACCCCAGGCCCGCGCGGGGCAGGAGGGACGGGGTATGGCAGCCCCAGGAGGGACGGGACTCTTCCAGCAGGAGCGGAGCAGCCCCTCACCCCAAGAAAGAGACGGAGGTTACTTTTCCACCAGAGAACGAAGCATATCCTGCACATCTATCGTGTTTCATCTCCCCTGGGAAAAGGGCAGTGAGCATTGAACGGAGAAGAGAGGCACACGGGCATGAATCGCCCGCTGCTCTGCCACCGTTCCTCACCTCCCAGCTCTCCCGGCCCAGCCAGCCGGCGGGCAGGGGCTGCCAGGCACTTTTCTCCCCTGCCAAACTCAAACCCGATCCACGCCCAGCCCAGAGCTTCTGGCTGCTTATCATGTGGATGCAGTTCTCCTGCTTTTAGCTGTCATAATATTGACACAAAGCAAAATAATAGTGATGGCAAGACTCTGCCTGGCTCTGGAAGGCAAACAGGCGAGGAGACAGGGAGCAGCAGGCTCCGCTATTGTGCGGGACGGGGCAGCAGCCTGGGCTGCTTCCAAGCTCTGCTCCCCGGCATCACGCCTGCTGATAAAGGGGGGGGACATGGGATGCGGGCGGAGGGGGATGCAGGCCCCGCAGCACGCTCTCCCCATCAAGGAGCGAACGTGTGCATCGGCAGGGCTTCGTCCCGGAGGCTTTCCCAGAACGTGGGCGGAGGAGTGGCTCATCTCTCCCCTTCCCTGAAACCTGGCAGCTGCTGAATAGCTGCCATCACCCGCAGCAGACAATGAGCAAAGCGAGCCCCGGGCCAGCTGCAGCGCCGGGAGCGCGTGAGCAGAGGAACTGCGGGGAGCTGGCCGGTGACCAGGAAGCAGCCCAGACTGCTGGTGTCACGGACCCTTCGGTGACCACAAAGCGGTCGGGCCGCGCTTTGTCTCACCCCAAGGGCCTGGCTTCCTGCAGCCACGCCAGGTTTGCTTGGGGGCTTCTCCGAAGCCAGCCTGGAGGGACGGGCCCCCGGCATCACCTCCTCCCCGGCCCAGCCAGCCTGCTGTGCGCCCTCTGAGCGGGGACAGAGCCATGGCCGACACCTGCGTGGTGCCACCGAGCTTTCCGAGCCGCTTGCGCCTTTGGCGGCACCGAGCAAAGCCGATGCCTTTTCCGGATATGAAGGCCCGGCACACCATTCGCGATGCCGGGGCCGCCACCTCCCGCCCAGCCCCACACCGTGCTCCCTTGTCGCTTGCTGGGGCTTGTTTTCCTACATGACATGCAGCAACTTCCCACACTTCCCTCAGCTCTTCCTGACCAGCCTGGCCTTTGAACTGGCTGCCTCCAGCTGCCTGCATCCCAAGAGGAGACCTGGGGAACCGCTGCAAGTGAACGAGCCGACGAGTGAGGCTCCACATCCAGGGGAGGCGCTTGGACGCCAGCTTCCCATGCCTCTCCCGGGGGCCGGGAAGGGCGAGCGGCAGTCCAGCCTGGGCTGCTTCCACAACCAGCCCTAGAAAAACCCTCCTGCTTCCTGGCCTCGCTCTCTATTTTTAAGGCTCCAAAAAGGAAGGGGGCGAAATGGTGAACTTGCTGGCAGGAGAGACGGTCGCTGGGCCAGATTCGGAACCACCTACTCATTTCCCGTAGGATCGCGGACTGCCTCGGTTCCGCAAGGGCCTGGCCATGGGCTCGGCCTGCCCATGGGTGCTGCGTTGACGTAAGGATGAGCCAGCAGCCGTTTTCTAGGCAGAGACAGGAGCACGTACACGCAGGCTGCCAAGCAAGGAGCTGCATCAAATCCTTTGCTAACCTGAGGCGCTGAATTCGTCCTGTTATTCCCTGTAGCAAGCCCTGCCTGTTTCTCCTTGGCCACCCAGGCGGTTACGGCAGCCACGCTTTCCTGTGGATGACCAGCTTAGGGGACAGTTGTTACCAGGGTCATCAGTGAAGACCAGCAGAACGCGTGCTCTGGTACCTGCAGTCAGCTGTGAATTTCAAGCATGTTAGAACCGCCGATGACTCAGGCAATGCGTGCGTGCGCCTCCAGACCCACAGAGCTGAGATTTCCAGCTATTCACGTACCTGCTTTTGATCACCGGCTGTTTGTTTGGGGTTTTTTGCCTTCTTTCCCTGGAAGCTTGAGTTTTAAACACACATTCAGCACTCGGTTCAGCCCGTCATTTCCATCCCCTTCACTTACTAAGTGACATACTTTCTCCCCTGTAGCACAAAGAAAACACCGGTTTGGGGCCCTTCAGCAGATTCACTCCTGCCTCCTTACAGCCCTGCCTCCACATCTGTGGCTGAAAGACCTTCGGGCTGGAGTCGTCCCCTCTGTTTTTATCTCAGGCCTTTGAGCACGGGCCTTCCAATGAGCAATCATGTCACACCAAAGATACCTTTGGTGCATCCTTCTCCTTAGACCGTGCTTCATGTTCCCCCCACTCCCACATGCCACACCATCTTTAACTGCTCCTCAGTCACTCGTGCTCAGTGGGTGGCTTAGGCAATGGCGATGACCCTATGCTGCTTCTTCCCATGTCACCTATCCAGTCTGCACAGTCTGTGCTGTGCTGACAGCCTGCCCTGTTGTTCCTGCTGGGCTGTGGCTCTGCTGGCTCTCGCCTGCTGTCTCCTTCCTTTCGCCTGTGCTGAGCGTGAGCAGCTCACTTTGCTTACCCGGGTGTTGCAGACGAGTCCAATTACTCGAGTTCAGCAAACTCTGATTCCCCTCCCTGGCATTTCATCCAGCCCACTTATCCACCGAGAGTTTCTAATCCAAACAGCCTTCCAGCACACGATGTTCCAGTGCTCCCGGGCTCTACCCAGCCTCTGTCCTGCCTTCTCCTCCCTCACACGAGCACTTGGGGGATGACATTCAGCCCCCAGGGATGCAGAATTCACTGGGTGGAGGGGAAGCAGTGTCTCCAGCAGCCATCCCTGACAGTACAGAGCGGGACGCCATCCGGGGCAGGCTGGCGGCTCTCCAAGATGAGCCGGATTTCAGCTCCTCTGCAGGCCCAGAAAACATGTTGCCTTGCTCGGCCGGCCAGCTCATCCCCTGCTCAGCTCTTTTGCCCACAGCACCAGCACCGTCTGCAGTCGTGTCAGCCTCTGCGCTTGCTCACGCACCAGATGAGAAGCCGCAGCGGCCAACTCTGCCCCAGGGGACCTGGATACACCTGGGAAGGGAAGGAGGGCGTGCTGTGCAGGAGGCAGTTGTCTGTGGCCGTGACAGGAGAGGGGGTCCCGCTCTGCAATGCCCAGCAGCTGTGGACCACCAGGTGAGTCTCCTTCCAGCTGCCCAGGGATGCACACACGCAGTCCCCGCCACATTGCCTTGGCCAGCACAGCCTGCAAGGCAGCGAGATTTTAGCCAAGCACACCAAAACAGCACGAGGCATCTTTCCAACTGCCTTCCCCACATGCCCCACGCTCCCTGCGCCGCCCTCGCTGCCACTCCTCTTCCCCACTCCCTCCTTTTCAGTCCTCCTGGGCACTCCTTGCCTAACTCACTGGGTCCTGGTAGCAGCTGCTGGCTAATGACAACCAGATGTCTCGTAGCCAAGGTCCCTCTGAGCAGCCAGAGCCCAGGGTTTGCCTTTCGGCTGTCCAGAGAGCCACAGGTTCTGGCTCAGCTCTGCTACACGGGGCTAACAGCTCCCGAAATCACCATTCAGAGGCTTTCATTCATGAAATACAAGGCAGCAGACCAAGCGCAGGACTCTGCCCCTCAGGGGACACCGGACTGCCAGCCGTCGTTGGCCGGCTGTGGCAGCAGTGCCCGACGGAAAGCGCTGTAGGGAACAGGGCAGGAACAGCACGAGCAGGGAAAACCTCTGCAGCCTGGCAAGGCACTGAGAAGAAACTGCCCTGCAATAGTTACTGGGACCAGAGCAGGGAATGTAAACAGCCCAGCATCCACAAGGAGGTCATAACCTTAGAGTCCCATTTCCCTTCCTCTTCTCCCTCCTGCCTAATCTCCAAGAGCTGCTCTGTTTACTAGCGAGATAAGTAAACAAACAAAGGAAAGCTCCAAAGCAATGATTTTATTTTTTTTTTTTGGCCAATTCACCGAGTGCCCCAGTCCCAGGTTGCATGCGTGGGAGCGGTCTCCGCACGCCATGGCGGCCAGCACACAGCAATGCACGGGGACAGCCAGCGGCGGAGGCAGGCAGCCGATGGGCGTGGGCAGCCCTTCCCTGCCCTGCCCACAACGCAGCCGTGCAGAGGGGCAAAAGGGAACTGCGCTACCCTGCGCAAACGCGGACCAGGGAGGCCCTGCCCCAGGGAGCCTCCAATTTACGCAAAATGGAAGAAAACAGACACCTAAAGCTGAGAAGGGGGAGAGGAGGCAGCGGGGAACAAGGACGGGCCTGGTAAGCACAGCGGGGCCTGGTACAGCTGAGCCAACAGCGCGGCAAACCCTGTTACCCTCTGCTGACTCTCTCCAGGGGCAAAGGATGAGACAGGCTCATCGAGGAGGGGAACTCTGACTTCCAGCCAGGGCAGCGGCATCCCCCAAGCACATCCAGGCAAACCCAGGCGCACGGCCTTTTGCCAGGAGTCCAAGGGATGCGGTGAGCTTCCTTCCCCAGGCTGGCAGGTGCTCTGGCTTCCAGGCGCACAGGGGCACTTGGGGAAGTGGCAGGAAGAGAGAAGGGTGGAAGGACTCTCAGCCCAGCCCAGGCTTTGGGTGAGAAATCACCTGCAATACATCCTCGAGACCCAGCGCACAAACCGTTGGCATCTTGCTGGAGACCCCACAGGCCCTGGGTGGTAGCTGGCTGTGGGGCGAGCCCTAAGAGAATTAGACAAGCACAAAAAAGGCACGATGAGCACCAAGGCCCTGCAGGCCCCTGGAGGAAGCACTCGCTGAAAGCTTTGGTTTCCTAATCTACAACAACAGGACACAGAGCAGAGCCACGGAGTAAAGCAGCGCCGCAATGAGAACTACGCCGTGGCTCCTGCCTGCTCCCTGGACAGAGAGCTCCAGGAACTGGACACAAAG